GGTTCATTCACCCCCAAACCAGCAAGGCTGGGGGGGGGATGGATGCTCGGAACCCCACTCCTGAGGCGTTTCGTTAATTAAAAGTCACCACTTTGTGATCATGATTAAGCCTTAATGACCTTATCAGCCGGTGGGGGGTTTGCTTTGCCTTCCCCCAGTAAGGGCCCAGTTCCCCCCCAGTTCCACTCACCTGCTCCCAGCTGGGGCGACGGCCTGGAAAACAAAAAAAGGGAGATAAAAATGATAAAAATCAAGAAATTCATCAGGAAAAGTCTCTTTTCTGCTAAAATTCACCCCAAAACCAGCCCCGTGGCTGCTGAATGGGGAAATTTAAAGGGGGAATTTTTTTATCAGTTTTTAACCATTTTTTTAAAATTAATAAAAGACACTGCGGGGGTTTGGAGCAGCAGCCCCTCAAAGCAGCCCCTTTTGCCTCAAAAGTAGTGCTTTTGGGGGGAAAAAAAGCCACATTTTTGCCCCAGCCTCGCTCACCCATCAGCTAGAGGCTGCATTTTCTGACATAAAGTATTAAATATTGCAGAAAAGAACTTGGATGAGCTTTTTTTTTTTTCCTTCGGAAATGCCTTTTTCAGGGGTGACGGTCACTGACCTGGGGGTTTCTGGCCCGAAGGTGGGAGAAAGGAGGGGTTTTTTGGTGTGGTTTTCACAGTTTTGGCCTCTTTGCTGCATCGGCCTCTCCACTATGTCACAGGTCTCTTCGAGACACCTAAATTCGGGGAAAAATAACCCAAAAAACCACCCCCCTGCACCCCCGCAATAGCCCTTTTCTGCTGATTTACAATCCCCACCAGAAGCTGCAGGGAGATACGGTGCCGCGATTTCTAACCCTTTTTCCTTACGTTTCCCTCCCTGTCTCCGGTGAAGTTTGCTTTGGGGAGGACACACTGGCGGGAGGCGTCACCACCGAGGGTGGGGAAGGCAGAAATTGGGGTGAAACCCCGTTAATTCGGGGTCTCCTCAGCGGGGGAAGGCGCCCGCTTCCAAAATGGCGGCTCGGGCTCCCGCTTCTAAAATGGTGACCGGCGCCCGCTTCCAAAATGGCGGCCGCCCGCTTTGCCCTCTTCCAAAATGGCGGCCTCGGCCTCAGGCAGGGCGGGGGGGGGCGGGTGCGGCCCGC